CACCAATAAACTTGTGTCGATCGGCACTTCACTTGGTCGAACTGATTGAATTTTGGAATATAAAATGACCACAAAAATAAATGAAATTTTATCGCTTGTCCAATTATTAATTCATAGTGTGTTGAAGTACTTGTGTATTCTTGCTGATTTATTGTAAATTTCACTTCCATTCTTCTTATTCTGAATTTAAACTGTGTTTCTAAGGAACTTTCTATCGATTTAAGATTTCTCCTATGCTGAACCAACTCCCGCAACTTCCAATCGAATACTGACGACCTATTCTATGGATGATCACATATTTTGCACGGAATAAAAGAAACGGTGGCATAACGTAAAATTGAAAAGTACATTTCGAACACAGTCTCAAATTATAGCCAACATTTGTTAATGTACATGATTCTGCGTTTATCGAATATCCAGTGCTAACATTATTTTTGTTACACACTTTACTTTCGTCACTGCCTCTGTATTAGAAATGAGGTTTTCGAATTGTGTGCATTCATGTGTGTCAACATGACCGTCCATAGATATATCTTTAGTGGCTAATAAAATAAAAATAAAATGCTCAACTTCTTTGAGCATCCGGTGCATTGTCATTGTTTCCAGTATGTGCAGGTGCACTCAATTTTTTTTCAAAACGAATTTTCATTGTATTTGATGCAAGCTAAAACTCACCACACTCGATTGACGTCACATCCATAGACCGGGTCAAGATGACAGCCTAAATCCGCAGCGCTTTCCTCTTCGTATAGGCTAATACGAAGATTTTAATTTGATACCAGACGTCATGTCCCATAAAAATTGCAGGGTAATAGCTAATGATTCTTAAAATAAAAGCGAAATCAACCAGATACACATTTGATATTTGAAATAAATATAACTTTAACGATGGGCTTTGATTATTTTGTCGCAAAGCCATATACACATCTGTTTTAAATGCAATGACTTTTGAATCGATTGCAGTTGAAAATTGCATGCTCGAAACTATTTATTCATTGCGAAGTCACTTGGAAATTTTTCATTGATTCCATTTTTTTTTTTCATAAAAGAATGGCTTAAATAAACATCGTTTACCACCGCTACTGCTAATTTTTTTTTCCATGTTTGTTTTCTTATAAACTTACCTTTCTATTTTCTATGAACTGGATTTTCTGAAAACACAGAAAATGAATAGATTGCATTCATAAAAAGCGATGGAACAATATGTCTGAAAAATCAAAACACGCCACAATTGTTTATGATAAAATTGAAAAAAAGAGTTGATATTATTTAATTTTGATTTTGTTTTACATTGTTGAAAAATGGCAATGATATTTAAAATTACAATTGCTTATTACTGATTGTCGATGTCTTGGATAGACATCAGAATTAAAAAAAAAAAAGTCATATCGAAGATTTATTTAAAATGTAACTTTTAATCGATGTATTTTGATCATTCTTCTTCATTTTTTGAGTTTATTGCAAACAGTTTGCAAACATCGAATATGTTACTTCTGTCTCTGAAATGCCATTGAACGCTTTGATCTTCATTTCAAACGATTGCTTTTCAATTGTTTGCAATGACACCGCTTCGTGTACCTATATAAAGAATACAAGTCTTTCTTCTTCTTCTTTTTTTTTTAAATAAATTTGTTAAATACATTCTCATTTTAAATATTCATAAAAATAACTAATTCATTGTATTACTTTTGTAAATTATATATGCCAAAATTTGCCCATTTTAAAATTGATGCCAATGAAAATAATTTGATTTCGAAATGTTCATTCAATTCAATTTTCTAGAAGAGTAAAACATGGAGACAATTTAAGAAGATCTATCAATAAAAAATGGTCTCATAAATCAACCAATAGCTACTACGATGGCTCCAACCTAAAAATGGGCAATTTTCGGGTAACTCTATTCAAAATGTTTTGCATATGAAATGTTTATTTTCAGATATTACATTATTTAAATGAGGGACAGTAGTAATAAATATTTAGCTGACTTTTGTGTGGTCCTGCGCGCATTTCTTCTCCTCAATACACAAACAAAAATAAACTAATTCATACTTAAATATTTTAAATACATAGAAAAGAATTTCAAACGTACAATTTTCTTCTAAATTATTCGCAAATTATTCGATTTGCATGACATAATTCGCAATGGCGCAAACTATCTTCAACTAGTGCATTTAAAAAAGAAAGCAAGAATACATCTTTAAATCTGAATAGAATGCCTTTGCTTGAATTTAAAAAAAAAAGAATCTAGAAAATCGCTAAACAGAAGAACATTACAAACATGTGTTAAAATTTTCTTTTCATTTTCTGTGATGGACTTAATAAGTGCAAAATAGTTCATCTTGTAGAATTTTTCTTTTCTTCCCTTTGAACATCTAAATAAATCTCTTTGATAAATACGTGTATATAATATATATAATAAATTTCCCATAAATTGTGTATGTGTGGACGTGGATGGATGTGTAAAATACTTGATTAAAACATTCGAAATGCCATTATTTTTATGTATAAATTGTTTGCTTGCTTTTCGCTTCTACCACTTAAAAAAAATACAGTCGATTTTTCTCACTTTACAATTGCTCAAAAACACAATTAATAATTAATGAATTTTCTTTCCTTTTCTCTTTCAATTGTACGAATTAGATCAAAGTACAATTTTCTCATATTTAATTTTTTCCGATTAAATTTTCTAATTTGCGATGAGGAACTATTATTATTGATTGCCATCTATAGGTTTTTTTCTTCTGTTTGATTGACATTAACACATCATATTCAAGAGCATTGTTTTTATTGCACGTAACGTGCATAATGCCAATTGCAACTACAAAGCGAATAATATTCGTTTGACTAGTCATTTTTTTTCGATCCCAATTTGAAAAAATACAATTTTTTTTTTCTAAATCTATATTTACTCAACTTAGCGGTGCTAAGCTCTAGGCACCGCGGTACATGTTCGATGATGTATGAAATTACAATTATGTAATTACTGTAAAGATCCCCAATTGCATTCAAAACAATGGGCAAGCTTCTTTCTCAAAGTTCTTATTTCTCGAAGTTCTGGAGTTCAAGGTTCTGTATCTGTTTCATGACCCATGATGCATTTTTGTTGGAAAAATTTCGGGCAGGAATCGGTGGCGGTGTTATTTGAATGCTCTTTTCCGACAGTCGTTTTTCCTGCTCTTCCATCGATTTCTGTTTCATGGTGATGATTGATTGTGTTTTGACCGTATCACTGTCGGATGAGTTTGAATTTGTTGATGGAGTGTCGCTTTTCCGAAATGGATTAGTATTTTCGGTTGATGGTGGCGGTGGCAATGGGGTGGCCATCAATTTTTCGAGAGTTTGTTCGCAACGTTTGCCAACTTTGGCCGGTAAAGCGGGCGGTGCAAACAATGGTTTAGCTGGAAGTGGTGGCGGTGGTGCTGAGCGTGTAATAACACTGGCATTTTGCACCTTTGCCAAATTCAATTTCGGTGGAATGGCCGGTTTCACCTTTTCCTCTTGTTTCACCTCATCGATTGTACTGTAAATGTGTTCGGGGCGTGAGTATGGCTTCTCCGTGTTGTCGTCACTGTAAATGGCCGAATCACGGAAAATTCCATCATTTTCCAAGTATGACTCAACCGTTTTTTCATAGTATGAATCATCGCCACTGCTGCTACTGCTCGAATGCGATGACGATGACGCTTTGCACACATTCAACGTCGGTACATCGATTGTATCGTTTTTCACCTGTTGATTCGTATAAATCACGGTGACCTGTTGTGGTTCAACTGTTGGCGTTTTTGGAATATCTTGACTTGCCGCAATGTTAACGCTATCATTTGATGAAGTCAATGAAAAGGCTGAATCTCGTTGTAAGTTGGCCAAACTTTGAATAAACGGTTTACTCGTCAACGACAAGTAGCTGTTGTTGTTTGCAAATAAGATTTTTGGATCGGCATAATCAACGGAGGCGATACGAGATCCAAGTGCTTTGCTACCCTGCTTATGAATGATACTCTTGCGATGCATGCCAGTCACATCGGACACACGTCGTTCGGGCAGTTTATTCGATGGTTTGCCAAAATTTAAATGATCCACACTTTTGTAGACTTCCGTGCCGTTGAACGTTGAAGCATCGTGTGATGTGTTCTGCGGTGACAGTAGATCGGACGATTTGGTCGTTTGAATGCTCGAAATGCTCACGTTGCTGTAGTCAGTTTCGCTTGATGTGCTGCGTCGCGATCCCTCAATGAATGAGCTGAACGATTCGAACGATGGCACCTTTTCATCGGACATTTTTCGTACGTGATAATTGATGTTTGTATCGCTCTTACGAAAATGTGATCCATGTTTCGGTAGCCGCACCTCATCATCAATGCTGGTCATTTCGCCGTTTTCATCAAAAGTCAACGTCACATAATCGGAATCGGGACGTTTTGGTGGTGCTTCGGTGGGCCGTTTGACCTTCAGGAATCGACTGTTTGGCTGTGACAATGATCGATTTAAAACCGGCGATGGAAATTTATACGGAACATGCACATTTCGCAGAAGTGACTCGTAGATCGGTTCAGGCGGCAGATCACGTTGAATAAAATTCTCACTCCTACTGAACTCATTTGCTTCAACGGGAATGGGTGGCAGCGGCAATTTAAAGAACAGTTCACCTTTGGCGAATTTTGAATTTCGCAGCTCATGATTGGGCGATGATTTTTCACTTTCGGACAGCTTCTTTGGTGGCTTTTTCAAAATCCGATCGAATTCTTTGTGATCCTTCAACAATTCCGAAATAATATCGATGTCACGCTTGCTTTTATTTATTGCGTGTTTTTGAATGAGATTCGAAGGCGTCAGCAACGACACACTGGACAATTTTCGATTGCTGTCATCCAAATTCTTCGAGATTGTGTCGGTTGCATCGAGAGATGCACGCCGTCGATTCACCCGACCATCACCAATCGATAAATCATCGGATGTTTCGGTGATTTTCAGAACCGTATCGGTGTTTTCTTCCGGCAAATCCATGTAAAACTTTGAGGTTTCCTTCAGCGTTTTTGATCGTTGCTTCTTCAGATTTGCGATGCGCTTGGGCAACGTTTTTGTATTGTAAATTCGAACTTCAAGCAGTTTGGATTTTGCCTTATCCAAAGCTGATGCCGGTTTACACGGTAGCGCTTTGTTTGCATCGAATGGTATTTCATAGTCGTTGCAAATGCTCAGATCATCATTATCATCAGTTCTTGATTCCAAATCAGTCGCTTGCGTTGTGCCGCTCATAATGGATACGGTGTCGTCATTTTGTTTGATCAACGAATTCCGTTGTTGCAGCTCCTTTATCATTGAATCTAACTGCTTGTTTTTGCCATTGTCGGCATTTGTGATTGGTTGATCAAATTGATCTTCGACCATTGATAAACTGGCATTGAAGATTTTTCGCGATTTTTTCGATCGATAACGCATTTCACTGCGACGATACTGATTGCGTCGTTCCAGATATTCGGGTGTTGTCGATGAGTTATGATTCCAACGCCATGTGTTTTTATCGGTTGAACGATCATCCTCTTCGCCCAATTGAAACAGTAACTCTTTCGCACGATTCGGAATATCAAAGTGGGCTAGCATGACTTGCTTAATGTGCTGTGCCCATTTACGCTTCTGGTCTCGATTTCGTGCCGTTAATTTGATTTGATTCGGATGTAGATCATTGTATGGAATTACACTAAAACTTTCTGGATCGCCCGGCAAATGTTCAATCAACATTAGGCTCTTACACTGAAAAAGAGAGTTTTGATTAATCTAAAAGAAATCACATTGACACTAACGCAAAGCAAAACGAATGCGTTGCTTATGACTTACGTTAATGTATGTCTTGAGCTGAAGTCGATTATCTTCCTTTTTCTTGGTGATAATCAGCATACGCTCGAAAAGTAGCACAGTTCGTGGTTTGCCATTTTCTGTGAGCATTCCTTCGAGTACCAAATCACCTAGAACGGTTAGCTCGGGCCCGAGCCAACCGTCTAAAATTCCCGATAGCTCACGTACACGACTTTGTTGCTCCAGATTTCGCTTCACTTGATCGATGTGCTGAGCCACATTCCTCATGATATCATGAGCTTGCAACACCTCAACTACATCGCAATGCTTTCGAAGATTCTAAAAAAAGATTTACATCATTAATTATATTGTACGCTTTTCATCAATCACGCATTCGATAAAATTGAAAACAATCAACATATTTCACAATTCAACACAAATTTGTTCGGAAAGTTGAATTCGACTCGACGACGGAGTTCACTGGGTCCTCTATCCACTCTCCGGTTTCTTTTAATTGATTCCATATTTCAAAATGATCAAATTGCTTGTAATCGATGGATGCCCTTGAGAATATTTCCTTTCCCCAAACACATTTACATTGTTTATCATCATCATCAACATCGTTGTCGACGACGACGTCATCTTCCCTTCACAAATCATTTTCCATTATTCATTTATCTGTGTTATGTTTTCTTTTCTTCGTCGTTTCAACATTTCTACCAAACGTTGCCCATTTAAATCCAATAAAAACGAATATTTTTAACGCGAAAAAAGTCATTCGAAGTGAACATATGGTCGAGAGTCAGAGAGCGGTAGTACGGTGAATTCGAATTGAGTTAAATTCACAAAATGAGTATATATAATTGGTTCGGGTCGAATTTAGCTGTCTATGTGGTGTGAATAGTGAGTGAGAATAGAGAGAGAGAGACAGAAGAAAAAGAATCGAGTGATAATTAAAATGTATTTACATCGAGCAGCAAATGGTACTTGAGAATGCGTTGAACTGGTTTCAGTAGATATGAGCCCAGCGGCAGCGTATGTTGTAGACTTTTTTGTGTTGTTGCTAGTAAGGCATTCGTATGCGAAGCCTGTAGCAATGTTGTTAACAACGATATGGCATCTGGATAACTGGTGCTGCAAAACGAGACAAAAGAAAAAGAAAAAAAAATGTTCAAAAATACCAAATTAGCGCGCAAACACAATGAAAATCCCTAGAATCTCAGATTAGCGGAAAATTCCAATGCACCTGCAAATAAAGTATTTTTTTTACGCATAGAAAAACAAAAAAACTAGTTTAGCTAAACATGAACAGTAAGCCGATTCGGGGGGAAAATGCAGACAAATCGACAGAAATCGGTCATTGTAGCATGCAGTTACCGTGCCTCTCGTTAAATAATGCACATGGCATTCTCGCGTAATAGCAACGTCAATTTGTCATTTGAATAAAATGTGAGCCACGAAGTGGAACAGCCGACAAGCAATGCCGAACAGTTGAATTTGAAATGAACAAAAAAATTACGTCACACGAGCGTGTCGTTTATCGTATGGATTGCGATTATATAGTAAGATTTATTCATATTTAGTTTCAAAGCGTCTCTCTAGCCTCCAAACAAATGGAGAAATAAAAACAAAATGAAATAAAATATTATGTGCTCTCATGCGGCAAAATGCGCTTAGCAAGAGAGCAAGAGAGAGTAGAAAAGATGGATGAGAATTTGATTGAAAATAATTTGGTTGCAGCGGAACTAATTCATGCCAATGTCAATGCTTGTTTGAATTTTTTTTTCGTTTTTTTGGTCATCTAACGGGAACCGAAACCCTAAATTAGTAGAATTTCTGTAGAATTCGTTACTGTCGTTGTTGTCATCGTCATCAAATGGGCCCAAAAAAAAAAACTAGTGGAATTTCCTCCCGTGTTGATAAACACGATCAAATGACACAGAGAAAACGACCATCCGTTTGAAGAAAGAGAGAAAAAATTGGTAGCATAGCGATGACTCATTTCACATGCTACTCTTGTTTAAATGTATTGAAGTGTCGGCGAGCGAAATATAGGTACACACAATAAGCAAAAATGGGTTTTCTGTGATAAAGTAATAACTGGAAAATGTGTGGCGTAGTAGTGGTTTGTATTAGAGAGAAAGAGAGAGAGAGAGAGAGAGAGAGTTTAGTTCGTGCGCGCAAGCAAACACGAAACACCAACCATCCGTTCGTTATGACTCACCAGTATTGTGTATATGCATCGAATTTGTCTTGCAGCTTGATAAAGGATTTCGCTATTTTATTCGGCTCCGTACCGGATTGCTCCAATTCTCTCAGTAATATCACATTGAAGTCGTACACTTCCTGAATGTTTCCAAACAATGTGTTCAGCTCTTGCGCTTCGAGATGGCCTCGCTCTTGCCAGTCATTCAAATAGCTAGAATTGTGTACACACGCACACACACAACAGCAGCAACAAGAGAAGAAAACAAAAGCAAAAAATTGTTAGCGTTAGTTACATGATATGTGTGTCGTCCATTATTTTCTGTTTTGTTTCATTAATTGAAACGCATAACGATAACTAAGTATATATTTTTGTTTCCCCTTTGTCGTCAAATAATAATAAAATGCCCACACATGTTAATGTAAACATGACTGTGTTATCTTACCCTCGGATAACTTGACCCAAATCATCGACATAATTGCGTTCGGAGTCGATAATTTCTAGGCAAGCACGTTCGGTGACAGTTAAACTGGGGCTCGTAATGGCCAATTCATTTTCACTGTGATCCGCTAAACTCTCAACACTCGCCAAATATGAAATAGCATTTTGATTCGATGAATGCTCATCGGACGCTGAGCTTGACGATGAACTCGTCGAACTAATCGAAACCGATGACAATGGACGAATTTTCGTGCGCTTCAAGTCAATCGTGAATTGAGCGTTCTCCTTGTGATTGACCGCTGTCGTTGTTGGTGGTGTGGCTGCCGGTACTGGAACTGCCGTTGCTTCGTTGTTATTATTATAAGTCGCGGGCAATGGATCACTTTCCACTGCATTAGCCAATGTGGTTGTATCATTGCCCGAGGAGGAGCTACTTATTGGTGAATGTTTCTTTGTACTTTGTTCAATGACTTGAGCTTTAATTGCAAATAATTGGCTTTTTGTTGGCGTCGCCGTCGTTGATTTTGTCGTTTGACTATCGTGGCTGGCGGTGGATTTTTGTGAAAGTGTCGGTGAATTTTGCGCACTACCACTTTGTGACGAATCATTTGCCGGAACGTGTTCACATTTATTTGCAATCGAATGTATAAAACTCGTATTTTTCAAGGAAATTAATGGATCATCGGCGGTAGCCACGGCGGCCGTATCATTATTTTCACTAGATTCCCATGCATTTTTGTGTTCCGCTTCAGCCTCTTCATTTTCGTTTGCTTCTTCTTTGACCACTTCATCGTACACATCGTCGTCCAAAATGTTCGAGTTGATTTCATGGTTAAAATCGAATGGTGGACACTCATTGATGGGCGTTTTATCGACGGTATCTTCATCAGGATCATCGCTGTTCACATTCGCATTGACAATGTCATACACATGGTCGATGTTTGCATAGGGAATTTCCGGTGGTGTAACATATCCACCATCTGAATCACCATCGATGACCAAGTCATTTCCGCCGGACTGTGTCAGTTTGCATGTATTCTTTGACAGTGGATGCTTAAATTTGCTGCTGCCATTCGTTACCACGGTTGTTGGCACGGTAATTTGTGAGGCCAAAAAACGCTTCCTCACACAATTCAAATTTGAAGAATCGTCGTCAGCCAAATGATTCTCGTTCATATCGTCCGGATGTAACGATGTATTCGAATGTGATATGAGCCGTTGCACATTTGCCGATAGTGCACGAAAATTACGATGACGTCGATGAATCGATGGCGGTGGTAATTTTGGCAATGGTGGCGGCGTTGGTTTCAGTGATTTTATTAATGTCTCTTCCACATTTGCAACTCTCGTTCGTGATGTTACTCGATCGAAATCTAAATCGAAATGGACAAGAAGAAATGTGTGTAAAATTGAATGCATACACTAGTGCTGTCGTGAAGGGGGATGACACGGAGAGGGGAAAATGACATGCAGTAATGCACTTGTTCATGCTATGAAAGAGAGAAACAGTGTATTTATTTACAAAAGATGGAAAGTGTAGCAATTTACCAAGCAATGGATTATTGTTGTAGCTCGTGTTTGTATCGATAAGAAGGGAAGATTTGCTGTGTGACAGACTTTTAAGTGAATTGGTGTGATCGGTGGACGACGAGCTAAGACGATCATAATACGCAATTACCGACGGTGATATATCGGTTGAGCTTCCTATTTGACGCCACCATTTGGTACGGGGCAGACCAAAATCGAACGCGCAGAGAGTAAGAGAGACGGAGAGGCAGAGAAAGAGAGAGAGAGAGTGAACAAGAAGAGAAAAGTGGTTAGTGACATTATTTGTTGTATTTTGGTGTGAATCATGTTTCAAGCGAAAATAAACGCAATAAATACTCAGGCACACACAAACACGTATTACGTAAAAGAAAATTGAAACCGGTTGCCGGTATTCGTTCAATTACACACGATTCGCAGAATAATAAGGCACACATAATAATGATAAGATTAAACATACACTCGACGAACGAAAGGCTATAAAATTTCGAATGTGTAATACATAGAATAAACATTAATATTGATAAAATAGTTATTGAAAACGTCAACAAAAAATACCACACAAAACGAAACGAACGAGCACAAAACTGTGAACACATAAAAAAAATATGGCACATAGACGGGGTACTTCAAACAGACGAACAGAACAATTTGCTACAATACCAATAGACACAACAAGACAATTTCGAATGAAAACTACGCAGAAAACAAAAAAACAAACGAATTTAAAGCATATTGGCGCAATAAAAGAAGGGAATCAATCATTCATTATCAGCGCATTTGCTCTCTCATCGTTGTCGGTTAAGTGTTTTTTGCGCGCGACCTAAAAACACAAACACGGTGAAAGAGAGGCAGATGGAAAACACAGGGGCGTACAGAGTGAGCGAAAAAAAGTGCGAAATTCAAACGAGCATTCTTGCACATATTTGAAAATGAATAAAAAAGAACGTTGAAAGAGAGATAAATGCGGCAATTCATGCAATGAATGCATGTGAAAAATCTGATGGCATGCAAGAGAGTCAAAGAAAGCATTGGGCCGAAAAAAAAGCCCCACCGCATGCAATGCATACACATTTATTCATTCGACATGGTTTCAATGCATTTGATCAACATTCAATCTCGATGAATAATTATGTTGATGGCTTTGAATGAAACACCACCTTAAGACTCAAAGATGAATTATGTTCGATTCTTGTTTTTTCTTGCTTTGCTTTGTTCAGTTCTTGTTCAGGTGTCCTTCACACGCAACACCACATCGATGGATCTTACAATAACTGTTATTACAATTGGCGTCGATTCCAATGACTTGAAGGAAAAACTGTAATACAAACAATTGGAACAAAATCACATCTCAAGGCCCATTGGCATGCGGCGCGCGATGGATTATAAATTTGTTTTCATTATCCAGGAGTTAAATCTACATTTGAAAATCGCAACATAAAATCAACTCATTGTAATGGCGTAGGAACAGCACACGAATGAAGAAGAAGAGAAAAAAAAACACACCACAACAAAGGTCGTAAACGCAAAACATCTGGCCTTTGACAAATCAACTCGCCAAATTCAAATTAAAACAAAGCCAACGCACACACACACACATACACACGCATGAATTACGCCGCACGGTTAGACATGTGAAGGTCGTTTAACTTCTCTTTTATATCTATATCTACCTATTTATACTTGGTTGTATTCAAAACAATTTTTATATCTCTGCACATATCTAGTTGCGATTGTGTCGGAATCGCCTGTTCGCTCGATAAAACGTCAAACAAATAACAAACAATACAAAATTCATTGCGATTATTTTGGTTTTTTTCGGTTAAATAATAACACTTTATTATGCTTTTTACGTACAACGAATGAATGATTGTGCTAAACTGAACGAAGACGAAAAAAAAAAACAACAACAGAGAAGGTTCGAGGTTCCAAAATTTCACTACTGTCTTTTTTCCATCACTCTTTATCTTGCCACAATCTTGTCTGTGTTGTGTTTTTTTTTCGGTTTCTGGTATGTGTATGTGTTTTTGCACCTTTCGTATGCGTGGCGTAACATTTGATATGGTTTAGTCATCGCGTTTTATTCGCGAAGATAATTCTCGGTTCAATGAGTCATCGCGTTTGATAAATCAGCGAGCGATCAAGCGCACACTCAAACCAATATTTACCCAACACATTGTTGTCATGGTCCCTTAGCTGAACGCGACGAGCGCACATCCATCTAAATACCGGTTTTGTATGTGTGCGGCGGTGTGATTGGTGGTGTGTTGATGAAAACAAATTTCGCCGCAAGACTCAACAATGCAAATTTCGAATGTGTTTGAGTGTTTTTTTCTTCATTTCATTCGATGCGCTGTTCGATTCATTTGCCACTCTTTTCTTTTATTATAACATGTGCAACAAAAACAAAAGATTGCCATCGGTTTCTTTAGCACGATGCATTCCATTATGTTATGTGATGTGTGTGTATGACGTGAATGCTGAAAATCATATGCCATTTGCACACTTTACTCAGTGTTGCACAGAATCATCATCGATAAATCATTGAACATGGGCACAAGCGCAACCGCAACACCAATTCATGAGTGAATGACTTTGAATTGGTTGGTTTGTTTCTTTTTTGCTTTTCATTTCTTGAGTAATAACGGTGTTTTTGCGGCCGATTAAATGCGTTTCTGTTGTTGTTATTGTTACTGAGGTGTCTTTTTCTCTCTTCTTTCCTCTCTATCTCTCTCTCGCTCTTGAACATGGCGAAAGAATGATTGATAAACAGAACAATTTGGTTAGTCAGTGAGAACAAGACGGGCGCGTGCATAAATATGATATGCAAACTTGAATCATAGCCCTAATCTTTCCATCCAGTGTGGATGGTTGAACCTTCGTTTTTTTTGCTTGCTTCTCTTCGGTGCTTCGTCGCTTGCATGCCACATCTTAAATTGCAATCGGCCAATGAAGCGAGGGAAAGAGACTATGAAATGCCATCGGAATGTTGGTTTATCGTTGGTGCTATGTGCATCGTGGTCTCGTTACGTTCACATTCGGTCGGTTGGTTGCTTTATTAGCGTGTGATAGAGATAATTGTTTTTGGTTGTAGCCATTTTTTTGGGCTTGTTTGCTGTTTTTTTCTTCCTATCTTCGGTTACTCGATTTCCCAGAAAATGGGCATTTGAATGACAGTAGTTTTTAACATGATTCACCAGAATCAGCAATAAACTTGTCTAATGCATTTGTGTTCTCGACTAAACACACACACACACCGGCCAAAAGTCCTATTAAATGACGTGAATCACTCAGCTATCCGAGAGAAATTCACAAGAAATATATAGATCGAAAAGGGCATTGCACCAACTCTTCTCGCTCGCTCTTGTTTTCTCTCGCTGCTGCTTCTCGTTTTTTTCTTTTCTTTCAAAAAGAACATTTCGAACACACCTCATTGTGTTGTGCGCGAGCGGTACAACACCACAAACGCAACTATGTGCTAACGATAATAAACAACTCACCAAAAATAGAAGTGGAAATTTAAAACATGTTTTGCCTTTGTTCGACCGAGTGAAAAGTGATTCCTTGTTGTGCAGCCACGTTATAGTTACTTTGTTGGCAGCGCACAAACAAAGTGCGCACAACACAAACACACGCAAAGATGTGTATGCACATCAGCCAATAAAAAAAAAACAATTAATGCGTTAATTACACAATTACACCAAAAGAAGGCACAAAACCCCATCCACAACCGATTCGAAATAGAACCGAAAGAATAATAATACGATTTCATTTTTCCGCGTAATTTAAAATCAACGTCGTCACGTCGTCGTTTTATGTAGATATTCTTAATTTTTTCACAACTGATCACACCTTTTACGGAAGCTTACTGGTGGATAATACGAAACAATACGGACAAACATGTGTCTATTCAATGATGATTGTGATAGACTCAGACGCTGAATGTGTCTCACACTCTCTCTCGATTTGTTTCGCAATAAAAATCGAACGAGCTAAGACAACATGTGTGTTTCGAATGATAAAATCGGTGCGGAAAATCACCCCATAAATTGGCCGCCTTTACATTTGCGTTGAGTCAAATTTATAGTGGCGAACAATGGCGTTTAATTCACATTGATTATTGACTTGTGCGCTTGTACTAAATGTGATGCGAAAAGAAAAGAATAGCCGAATGGGGTTTGTTTGATCAAACTGATAATTTAATATAAGTTCAATTTAGACTGATAACACTTGGTGCTTTGTTCGGGCACAACAAACTTGAGATTAGTGCCAATTGCGGCTCATTTGTTGTTGTCATTGTCTCCATTGTTGTTGACGCCTGTTTCCAAGTGCACATTGTCGATCACGTTGACCATCGGTCGCAGAGTCGAAATTCAAAAAGTGGATCGCCCTTGGTCTACGTACTTCTTAAGATTTGTTTCTTTTCTATTTAATCCAATGGCCACGATTCACATTATGTCTTCGCTTTTTGAACTCTCTTTGTCCGCTTTTGATCTCGAGTCAACGGCGCAGTGTCAACAGATTCTCATGTTTAAACGTTGATTTGGCAATTTCACCGCATGAAATAGCTTTTAATTCATGAAATTTTGAAATAGTCAAAAAGCCACTTGTGTGTGTTTGTCGACCGAAAGAAGAAGAAAAGATTCAATTACATTTTTCTTGGTCGGGTCAAAAAGTTTGCCACTAAAATGTGGCATAAATTAATCAAAATCTACATTTAAATAGAATGGGAAATGGTACGAGTCTAATGAGCTACATGATTAAGATCACGACCGCATTTTAAAAAGAAATAGAAGTAAACGAGAAAAAAAAATTGCAAAGTGAAATTTTTTCTACTCGCGACTGCGACAGCACACGCAAGCATGATCGGCCAATACGTAGACGAAGTGTAAGCGAATAGATAAAAGAAAAACAAATCTAGCGTATGGTCAAAGCAATGAGCCGTGAAACTTGTTTCGTTTACGGCTGTGTCCATTAAAATTGTTCAAAAGTCGATCCCATATCGCAATTACTTAGATATGCAAACAAGAATTTGTTGTAGTGTCGGTTGTTTCTTTTTCTTTTTTTTTTCTATTTCCATTTTGTTTGGGCTGGTGCGTTTGGACTACTTGAAATTGTCGAACTTAATCGAAATATAAAAACATGATAAGCAAATAGAAATGGAAATAAATTTTCTGTTTCCATTTCTTGGTTTTGTTTGGGGCTTTTGTGGTCATCGTCGACGTCGTTGCTCGCACGCTAAAAACGTCATCGAAACTTTCAATGTGCTCACAGACAAATAGCCAAACAAGTTTCAAAATCGCTTCAAAAATAATATCATCATGTTTTTATGCACGGTGAATCGTGTAGACATGAGTCATTTGCCTTTCTTATATGTGACAACTCGTCGACTTAAATACGTTTGAGCGCATTCAAATTCGTGCCTTTTGTGTTTGTCGCTGATTGTTGCTTTTTTTTTTTTCTTTCGTTCGTTGTTTGATACGTTGCCATTTCAGTGTCAAATCAGCACTGACTCAGGCACTGTTCAAACAATGGGAATTGACGTGAAAAATTAATAAAAATGAAAAAAAAATTTTATTCCGTAGTAAATACTCAAACACGTCGACAACGACACAAAGAGCAAAAAATCACGTTGCACTTTGCCCAAACAAAGAAATTATCGTTTTCGATTCATATCAATTTTATTCACTCTCTATCTCTCTCTCTTTCTCTAGCTATATTGCACATGTTCTATTTCTCTTGATCGTGCACGATGGAGAAGATGAGGAGCGCGGCATTTTTTCTCCTCAAGCTTTATTCTGTTCACATCGGAAGAAGTAAAAAGTACATCTTTCGAAAGATCGAATAAGAATCACATTTGAAATGAACTCTCTGAATGGAATGAAAAATCGGAATATTATCCGACAAACGGAATTATAATCGTTTTCATTCAAATGGGTTACCTTCTGCCGTTTATTCTGCTGATTTTTTTTCTCTTTAAATTTTATTGCACAAAGTAGGATGGACTCTTGGTCATATTAAACATTTGCGAATACATGCGAAATGAATATTAATTGTGTGTAACCGCCAATGGTGTGTGTGAGATGGAGAGAGAGAGGGAGTGAAAAATGCGAAACAAAAACAGTCTCAATGCTCATAGATCGGCTGTTGTGATTTGAAATTCTTTTTCAATCGAAGCACACCAAGGCCACGTTAGTACAACCGACAATGATCCACGCACATTGACATTTTAGCTAGCCGCTACGCCGCGGCACTGTTTCAAGTGCTGCAAAGAGGTAGGACACACACACACACACAGAACCTTTTAATATTCAAATGAAATTGCCTGCAGTTCGGGTGTTGTTGCTGTTGCTGCTTTCATACAAACATTTATCTTTACTCGAAATGCGTGACATTTTAGTTGCCACAGCCAGGTCTCAACCTTAACAAAATAGTGAACGAAATGATGGAGGAGCAGAAAAAAACGACGCTGAAACAAATTAGATGAAAAAACATGGCAATGGAATGTAGAGAGGAAAAAATGAGCATATTTTGCGAGTACGAAACAGCGTGATCAATCACAATGATTGTTTCTGTTTCGCGGTTGCCGCATTGCGAGCATATTTGCTCAGCTATTAACAAAGCACAAGATCACGATATAGCCTTTTGCAACAGCAACAAAGATAGCGGCATAGCGGCGACGACGACGATGGAGGCAAATATCTAGAAATATTCTTCTGCGTCACGGAAATCAAATATGAATGAAATGTACTGGATGAAGCAGCTCTTTATGAGTTACATTCGCACACACACTTCGGAAAAGAAAAGTCATTTGATGAGAATAATTAGTAGATTTCGTTTCATTTTCACACTGAACAAACGAGCCACACCGAGAGTGAATGAGCCACACAGTGCAAAAACGTTTACATGTGCATTGAAGCGCAGCACCAGTTAAGTGGAGATTATTTGAAAATTTCTACGGCTAAACAGTAAACATGAGGATGAAATAAACCAAAAAAAAAGACACACGGCAAAACAATAATCGGACTTTGTCTACTGCTCAATGAGCTCCGTATTAATAACATGATTCCGAGAAATGCGCTTCTCAAACGCAGAAAAAACGACGACGACGACGACGACGGCGACGATATATACACAAATCAGCCCGTAAATATCCGTACAGAAACAATATGAGATTGTTGTTTGTTCCTTTTGCACGCCGCTTGCTGCTTTCAATGACACACACACAGAACAGCACAGCACAGTGCAGCACAAATCATGCGGCTTAACGAGCCATATGCATTAGCAGCGGCGATTTGGAAACCACAGTCAAAATATGAATTTAATTTAATTAGAAACGGGTCTAATTAGCACAGCTGACTCAAATTTGATTCGGTTATGTGTGTGCCATATGGGCGTTTTGTGTGTGTGTGCGTGTGAGCGGTGTTCAGTGCCACAGCACCATGTACCAAAGAATGCACAGACACATAAGTTCATTTTCGAAACATATCTTTACACCATATCTAATCAATTTCTGCCTTGTACTTGACGGGAATGCAAGCATTTTCGACATAATCATTCGTCGAGTGGAATTCCAATCTCAGATACGAATACGCGTGTACACTTGGTTTGGGGCCTTCTCACATCTCAACAACGAAACAAAAATTTGAAAGGAAAAACACCGAAGTCTTGATGAGCTAAAGCATTTTTTTCTTCATTCGAATTGTTTTTTTTTATTACGTTGGCCAGTCGCATTAATTGAGTTGTTCTTATGAAACTGAAGAAAAAAATGCACAAGCGAGAATAAGCAGCGTTGTTTTATTTGGAAAAAAATACACTCAAATCGGCTACAATAATCACGGATTAATTCACCGAAAATTTCATATTTCATTTCTGGTTAATAACACACGATCAAATGGAAAAAAATGCGCATAATAATCAATGAAATGGATTTTGAAAAAAAAAACATCGATTTTAAAGTGATTGTAACGAAAAATGTTAACGAAAATATTTAGAAAGGACGTAAATATTTGTTTTGCTCGTGTGATTTTTTGGTATATGGAAAAAAAACAATTTTCCCGCCGAATTGACTAAATGATTGAAATTGATCTGGTTCTTGCTGGCTTGTTTATTATTCACAGCATTGATAATTCTTATGAAATGAACCACAACTTTATTCTGATTCATCAAATTATTCAATTTTCTTTCCGCTGGCCCGTCATTTCATTGTGTAATGATGTTCAATTTGGACGAAAGAATGTTTATGATTCAATCAAAATGAAATTAGAGACGGGAATGTGTGTGTATTCAGTGAACCATCCGAGAAATCGATTAATGACCCAAATGGAAAGTACTTTGAAGGGAAATGCCAAGCCATCCAGTGCATACACAGTGTAAATGTTTATCGAAGATTATTCATTAGCTTTTCTCTATCTCTCTCTCTCTCTCTCTCCCTCACCGTGCATTCGGCCCGACAGAGTCAAGTGTTAAGTGAATTACATGCGCAATGCATCATGTATCATATGGCACCGTGTGTTTGGTACATCTAATTTGATATCAACTGGCTTCTTTTTGATCTCAATATAGTATCTGTCTGTCTGTGCTGTTAATTTACTGCCCATCATAATTCTCCCGGTCTCTAGAATATATTCGTGGCTGTTGGTGTTGTTGTTATTCCTCTCGTTTCGTCTCATGTTCTCTTGTCTTCATTTGGTTTGTGTGCCCGTTAATTCATTCATTATTTTGGTGCGCGCGGCAATGTTTTTTTTCTGTTCTGTTTTTCTTTTCACGTTCACATTAAGCGGTCATACAAAAATACACACAATTCTAACGGTGCGTGAACGACACAAATCATATGCGTAGGTTATATGGGTGATATGCGCCTTCGGTTCCAATGTTTACATTTCCGACACACACACACACGCGAGAGCGACGGAGAGAAGAAGAGAAAAAAAAATCAGGAAAAAATCGAAAAACAAATTCAAAATCGACACACCAAACAAAAATTCACAGTTCGAAGCAAGATTAGGAGTGGCGCTGAGCCACAACAAGTGTAGAATGCAAGATAAAATGAGTGACAAAATGGGAAAAAAAAATCATTGAATGAATAGAGAGAAATAAAAACAAACGCACCGCCACACAGCAAATGTTTCATTTCTCTCACTTTTTGCCCTCGCTGTCAAAGTTAAGTGGTTTTTATGGGCAAAGAAAGGTTTTCTCTTCTTCTTCTTTGAAAGTGTCCAATAAATTGTAAGCGCTAAATGTGCGGCGAGGACTCGGAAAAGGGCTATTTGTGGTAATTTATAGCTTATTCAACAACAAAAAAATAAACCAAAAAAATTAAAAACGACAAACACTAAAACAGACAATACACCGCGCGCACACCGCGTGGTGGTGATATGTGTGCGAGCTGCCTTTTTTTCTTCGTCTTTGCTGTAGCGCGTAGACCGCCCATGAACTGTGTTGTTGCTCTTACATTGTGCATTCATGCTGTCTTGAACCATTTGCACAATTCGATGGCAGTGCGTAGGTTACACCGTTTAAACAGAGTGAGAGAGAGAGAAAAGCAGACAACAAAACCGTAGACAAACATAAAAATGCTATTTTCACCGATTCCATATAATCCCATGTTAGATGCCATGTTTTTACACGCATTTCGATATTATATTGAACATTTTCTACGGTAAAATTTCCAATTCGAAAGCCTATTGACCAAGAAGAGGCGACGCGCTCATAATTTTTATTTTACGATAATATGTCTTTGATTTTCGTAGTTTCATAACCAAAACAAAATCAAAAAAAAATATATACGGAGAGAGAGAGAGAGAGCGCGCTCACGAGAGTTTACGAAAGTTCGTTTGGGAATAGAGCGGCCGGAAAGTGATGAGAAGCCGCTTAAAAACGATAAAGAAAAACCAACCGCTTTTTGAAGACAGTAAACGAAACTCTGACAAACGATGCCGCTCGTGCACGTCACAACAACGACCAACGATTGAAATTGGTGTTGCACATTTTTCCACAACACAGCAACAACATAACGTGTAATCGATGCTGTAATCAAGACTAGAAGAATTTCGTCCCGCATCTTTACGCTCGAGAGATGAGAGAGAAATGTTAAGTTGTCGTTGTGTTGTCGAAACACACGAAAAAAAAACGATTTTTGGTTTAAATTTAGCAGAGAAGAATCAGTTCATGTTACATTATACAAAAGTTAATGGTATTTTAATTCAGATGTTTTTCGTTCATTCATTTGCTGGCTTGTCTGTTGTTGTTGATGCTGTTTTTTTTTTCTCATGCTCTCCTCTGTTGACAGATAAGACAACGAAGCGTTCTCAAACGCTGTTTTTGCTGTTGCTGCTGCGGCTGCGTTATTTATTTGAACAAATGAATTTATTATTCAAGCGCAAGCCTTTAATTATAAATACTTAGGTTTGATAATAATTATGAGTCATTTACAGTTGAATGTTTCGTTCGACATTGGAAACTGAAAAGAAGCATACATACACAGAAAAAATATATGGCATATCTGAGTGGATGCAACATGCCACATGCAACATGCAACCTCTAATTATCTTAAACTTTTTTGGTTTCTAAACAACTATTATTTTGTATACATTTTTTAAATAGATACGAAAAGACAAAATCACATGCAAACCAAACAAATAGCAGAATGAAGCGGCTGTGTTTTTTTCTTCTAACAGAGGGATTAAAAAAAAAAGTATCAGTGAAAAGAGTCAAAAAAACTTCAATCAGAAAACAAACAAAAAATATTCATAACGAAATTTCGAAATTGAAAGAGAAAATGACAATCGTACGACGCTAATCACATGAACCTAGGCTCTTTTTTTTAAACTGGTGGTTTTGTCTCTTTCACTTGGACTTTCACAGATTACTACAGCATTTAGTGAGTGAGCATCGCTCATATATAGCGCTTTTTTTTCTACAACATATACAGATTATAACACACAAATGGACCGTTTTCTTAAAACATTTTTTTTGTTTGTTTGTTATGTCGTGCAGTTGATCAATTTTTACATTCATTTGGTTGTAGTTGTTGCAGTTGTTTTTAAAACAGCCGAATTGATATGGCTTACCAAAAAAATCCTCCCAACGTTCCGACTCGTCCGAATCACAATCCATATTTGACTTTGTATTGACAGGTTACGCGAGAGCGCGCGTTTCGATTTCAGTTTATTATGTGTATATATTTATATATAGAGTCGTATTATGATTAATTGAACAAATATATATATATATATATATTCCTGTGCGAATTTTTCGGTTTTATTGACGCTTTGCTTTCTCACGTTGAAATTAAATGGTAAGATCGTCCGCGAAAATGATCCATGGCCCAAAAGCGGGCATTTTTCGAATTCTTTTTTTGTTGATCCAAACTAATTAGACTCTCATTCATTGTTATTCGATGAGGCGTTTCTTGTTTTTCTTTCTCGTTTCGTTTTCAATATTACAAATACGGTTAACGCCAATTAATTGGTTCCGTTTAAATTCGCGCTTGTTTCGTTGCTTAATTTTCTTTTCTTTGTTTCTCTCTCGTTTGTTGTCTGTTCAGAGCTGCATCGTCTGGAGAAAATCACACACAATAAAAATGATTACTTTGCTGAATTGATGTTGTCATTCGTCACATACGTTATCACGAAGGGAGCGAGAAAAAAAAATCGGCGCATAAACACACACACACACACATCCACAAAACTTAAACAAAAAAAAAGAAAAAAATATATGATTCATAAACCAATGCACACAGAAAGAGTTTCAGACCATGAACGAGCATAAAATAATATTTCACAGTCACACACAATCGAAAGAAAGAAAGAAAATTGTTGCGCTTTAGGAGAAAGACAGGAATGAAATTGAGTCTGAATGAAAACGAAAAATATGCAAGACTTTCTCGAGAGAAAAAAAAAGAGTTATTTCCATTTTTCTTCCCAAAAAAAAAATAAACAACACAACAACAACAACCAGCCAAACTGTTCACGTAACGACCAAATTACGGGCCATTAAAATGAGCTGCGATGTGGCTGATTTTGTTTCTACTTTGGTTTTCATTCATCGCCAACCCATTCGCCAATTTCCTATTTATCCGCCACACATTCTTCCAGTAGGAACAATGAACTCTTCTTCGCTGCCTTGTTCGATGAGCAAAGGACTATAGAAATCCCAGAAATAACATGGTTCCGCTGGAATTTTGCACAATTTTTCGGTTATTGTACGTTGATTCGTGACATTCGCCGTATGTTTCCGTGCTTCTATTTATTTTTGGCAACAATTTCGCGCAAAATTTACATAAATTATCGAACATGTGTGAACCGAACACTGCTTTTCCGCTTCGATAATTGGTTTGCTGTCGATGAGAACGTCGTTGTATTTTCTTTCTTTCTTTCTTTCTGGCATGTGCTTCGCGGTTGCCATTTCACCAATTCGATTCACCTATAACGTTGGCAGTTACAAATTTTTTTCCTTCGCTGTTTTGCTTTATTATTTATATATGTTAAAGTTTTGCATTTGCTCAATCGGCTGGCTGCTGTAGCAGGCAAAAAACTCGGCGTTCGATCACTGTTTCTTTTATGGACTTATTATTATGGTTGCACTGCCGAGGAAAAGAGCACGAACAATCGTTCAATTATTTACTCACAAAGTTAACGAAAGCAAATAAAAAAAAAACATACAACAACACACAACGCCGAACAAACTTTACATTCCATGGACGAGATTTGAATGGGATCGAAACCGCAAATGTGGATCGCGTGCGCCGACTTAACTTATTGAAAACAGAGTAGCTGCGCGCGGAGAGCGCAAACGCGCTCGATACTATCCGAGCTGATTTCAGGAGAGTGAGCAAGAGATGTGTGTCGTTGTTGTTGCTTCAGGGGCAGAGACAGTCGAACACAACTCGGGCTTCAGCATACAAAATATCTTATTATGGCAGATGAAGTAGGAAACGAAATTGCTCTCTCACAGACTCCATATCGTATACCAGAGACACATACACAATGACGACGACGACGATGATGCTGAGGAGCATGAACCAAATAAAATTAGAAACGTCCAAAATGAAAAAAACAAAACGGCAATAGAGTACAGAACATGAAATGTGTGATGAAAGAAGAGAAAAAAAGCGAGGCATACATTCAGTCGCGACTCGCATAATGCAATCCGAAGAGCAGAGCGAAAGAGAGAGAGAGAGAGAGAGATGCTGAAGCAAGAGAAATAGAGAGATACAGACACAAATGCAAATGAAATGCTTGCAATAGTGAAATTAAAGTAAGGCGCACAAGAATGGATGAGTGTGTTCGATTTATGTATAAATGTATTTATAGTATGTGTGTAATTTAGTTTCGATGCATGCACAACGAACAGCATACCAAAATGCACTTGCATAATTGCCTAGCTGTGAGCTATTCGCCCAGCTGCATTATGTTGTGCATATAGTGTTTCTGATTGATGCGGATGCAATTTCTATCGTTTATTCTCTTCGCAATTATGTATGTATACAGAAGAAAAAGAACCCACACTCAAGCACAATATTCAAGTGAAACAAACACATGGACAAATGGACACACGCCTACTGCAATGTATGGGAGCAGTCAATGATTTGGGACACAAAATGCTGTTCCATTCGAACGGTGCAAAAATCGCAAAATTGCAGGCAATATCAAAAGCAGCAGCAGCATAAATTGGACGCGCGCGCGTCGCTCACACACACACATGTTCGATCTCTCGAGGTTTGGAGATTTTTCATTTCGCTTCTTGGTATTATGTTTGCTAGAATTGCAACGACAACAACGACGACGACGACGACGACGGTGGCAGTGTTGCAACAACTACGTATGCATTTTGTAGCCATTTAAGCGAACGATTATGATGATTTATAGATGGTTCGGTATACGTTATGCACACATGGTATGATTTTCGCTCGTTTCGGCCGACTCCGTCCCGTGTGCCATAGAAATTAAAAGCGATTTGCAATGAACCGAATCGAAAACAGAGAAGAAGCTGAAAAAAAGTGCCAAACACCAATTGAAACAGGGGAAGAATGCATTTCATCGAAAGATGTGCTCGACGAAAGAGCAAACGAAGCAAAGAGGCATGAAATCGAACTTGATTCAACAATGTATTACTCAACAACACAATGCAGCGCGGTCGACAAGAGCTAAAGTGTGGAAGCGTGAAGTGAGCGAGAGGGAGGGAGGGAGAGAGAGACAGACAGAAAGGAAAAGAAAAAAAATATTATTATAATAAATGGTAACAAATAACTCACACGTTCTGCTAACGGAAAAGAGTGCAACTCAAAGAAATATACAGACATACACACACACACACGGCAAATTGGCACATATTCCAAATAACGATGTCACGAATTGCTCGTTATTGTTCGAACAATGAGAGAGTGAGCCCCAAAAAAGCAAACAGCACCGCACATATTTAATGGAATCAATAATAACAATTTATCAATAAACAAATTGAAAGCGGTTTGCGCATATACACAACTGAAATTGTGAGCTGTGAGAATTGATTTGCAAGCGTGTGCGTGCGCGCAGAGAAAATTCACTGTGGTCCAGCAGCGAGCACGATATCACCGCTGCTGCGATGAATAATGAGTGACTTTCATTCAGCCACAGAAGAAAAAAAAATACAGTCAATAAAATCAAAATTAGAAACCTCAATGAATCGAACATCCATTCGTTTGTTTATTTTATTTTTCGTTCACATGATAAACGAGAAAGTGGTGCAGCAAGTGCCCAATGAATCGGACAAATTGTCGAAACATCGATCATGGAATTCATCGTTGCCGATGATAATATAACACGCCCAAATCATCCATACCGATTTCGCATATCGCACGATGAAGAGACAGAAAGATAACCACAAAACAAGCGCAGAAAAAAAAACAAACTTATCGGAAACACACAACAAAAGACAAGATATTGAACAAACAACGAACAAAACGCGCTCGTTCACACACAGCACACCGATGTTGAGTTACACACAAACCTCACGGGCTTCTCATGAGCAATTCTGTGTATGAATTTCGAAATTGGAATGATAATCGAAAGCCATACCACAAACACACACAAATACAAACACCGTATACTATATTTATAATTTCGAAATGTAATTTTATCGCACTATCGCGTAAAGACGACGTAAGACGAAAAAAAAGTGAGTATATCTCGTTTGTGAGTGGTGTTCATTTCCCTCGTCTTATGGTTTCTAAACCATTTTTCTACTCACTTGAAATTTTGAACGCTATTGTGTACTTCTTCTTCTTCTACCTACTGTCACTTAATGTGTGTGCTAAGATTTTGATTTGGTCAATATTCGTTCGTTGTTGTTGTTGTTACGTTTTAAATAAGCGATCAATTTTTCATTTTCAATCATTCACTATTACCTTTCGGCGTATTATTTTCGTCACTTCGGCGAATGTTTGTTGGTTGTTGTTATTGTTGTTATTGCTTTAATTCGATTTATACCAAAATCGGAAGGCGAGAATTAATATTATGCGAATAAACGTACGAATGAACAATAAGATATGTAGACGATTATGGCTAAATCGATCTTGCTAAATAGATGAGCGCATCGAACGGTGAACAGAAAATTACACAATCAATTGGCACAATGCATACCGGATACATTTAATCAATTCGAATTGGCCACTGTCTCTCATTTCACCAGCCACTCAGTATATTTCCATATTTCCATACGGCCGATCCACACCATAAGATTGGCCAGAACAAATGCAAACTGTCACACACACACACACACACACACGCACACAATCTCACGTTCTCG